AAGGTCATAACCGTTACTTTCTCTGAATGTACGGGTTGGGGTTGCTGAGAAGCACGGTCTGTTACAGTGCATTTTTAATAAGTTGTATAAATCAGCTACATGTTCATGTCTCAATGTGACTGTCAGATACAGTTGAATATACACAACCAGCACTGATGACTAAAGACTGATGAAAACCAATAAAATATTGGTTGATCTAAAAGTCTGGAACAAGAATGCTGTTCGTTATTCAAAGGTACATAGAAATCTTTCCGTGTACACAGGAACTTGTGCTGTTTTGATATGTTTGCACTAAAAGTAATATTACCTCTAGCAAATGTACATTTCTTTTTCAAGATAGTAACCCAGGGTTTGGGGAGACTCAGTCTGGTCCAATACTGGGAAGCTGTTCTGCCCACAGAGCTCCTTTGGTGTTCTATGCATGAAATAGATATGGGGTTTCCCAAAACTGTCTGGCAGCATCCAGTGGCAGTGGCCACCCATGGAGCTATATCTAAGAGTCTTTGTGCCTATGCCTGGACAGGCAACCAGGAACATTGGGTCCCAGTGTGGTAGTGCAGGCACGTTGCCTTCCCAGGCTTCTGCACCTTTGCTTTCTCTGGCCTTCATGGCACGTTTCTGGCTCCATGCTGGTGTTTGCCCCTTCACAAAGTGATGCCTTGCTGCTCCGGGCTCTCTCCTCCTCCTCCACCCCCCTTCCACACAAACACACACGCACAAAAACACACTTTTCCCAGGCTAGTGCAGACTTGTCAAGACCCACGTTTATCTTTTGGGGCTGTGTCTATAGTTCACTTATCCAAGGGCACATGAGATGTGGATCAAAAAGAACAAGGTCTCTGCTTAGCACATTTGATTTTTAGATAATAAGAGTGAGGCGGGTCTGGGCGAAACAGCCAAGCATTTAGAACCTCCCTGGCTTTAACATCTCTTCAGTATTTTTGGGATATGGTGAGAGACTGCTAGGATGTGGAAGGTCTCCACTGCTGTAGAGGGTTTCCTTTCCAGCTGTGAAATCAGGCACACATATACATGCACACACGCACGCAGTGCTGCTTTCCCTTTGAAATTGTTAGTGACAGGCCTTTTTTTTATAGCTACCAGCCTCCTTTGCTCATCATCAGCTCATTAGACTGTCAAAGTCCCACTAGGTGATCTGTTGCCTAGCTACCGGCCTACCTGGACAAAACTTTGTTTTCTTGGTTTGGCAATTCTCAGTTCAGTGCATGTGCTACGTGGAGTGATTCAGCTATTATTGATTCCTACTAACCCTCTCAGCCAGCCTGGACATGCACAAGCCATTCATTTGGCTGCTTAGCACAAGGAGAATGAAAGAGGAATAGTATGGAAGACACTAGGGGTAAAGGTATGCACAGTTCCAAAAAGTCAAGCTGGAATTAAAAGTGTGACAGACAAACTGTAGAAAGTAGGTTTTCCCTTTCTTCTAGTACTCATATTTTGTTATTTCAGAATAGTACAGCAGCCTTGCAAACAACGACTCTTAACTTTTCTGACTTAATGGTTTCAGCTACCGGCCTATTCCAGAAGATGTTCTTCTACATGCATTTGAGGTGTGTAACTAAATATTCAAGTACCTAATTGCTGCAAAGAAGTTGCCGATTCTTGATTCACTGTGCCTAAAACCACAACAGTTTATTCTTTTTCTTTTAAAGGCTTTAGATGAGAATAAATGTGGATATCTTACTAAAGACGAGCTGGTAAAACATATGACTGAAGAAGGTAACGTGACTTTTGTAATATCAGTATTTAAGTAAATAAACATTACATGTGTATATGGCACCTTGATGTCCTGATTCTGCATGCCAAAACTTGTAGGAGTAGATACAGTCTTCAAACAATCCTGCTGCCTCGGTGAGTGGCTGCAGACTAGAACATTTCACTAGTGAATAATGCAGGGAAAGGACACTTATCTGCCTTTTTGCAGATATTATAAAATAAAACTTTTTATTGAGTCATAATCCAGTCTTGTGTGAATATTTTATAATTCTGTGCATGTCTCTGTGCTTCGTAAGGATGTGACTCCTTTTCTGTCCCCCTGTAAAACTTTAGTTTAGATTTCAAAATGTTTCAGGGAGTTGCAGTGCTCATTCATTCCTACATTATCTTGATCTTAATTCTAGTGCCCTACGCAAACAAAGAGATTCAAAGACCAGATTTAAGTTGTATATCATGTAATCCTCAATATCCCTTGAAGAGCCTGCTTTTCTTGCATGGCTGAGTCATGCTTGCCTGCCTCAAGTACAAAATGACAAACATGCTTTGTGCAAGACTTTCCAAGACCTATTCTCAGATGGGGACCTTGTTCTCAAAGAGGGATGCAGTAGGCCATCAACAGCTTTGAAGCTCTTAAAAGAGCAGAAAACAAGGGCCTTTCATGGTGTAAATACGAGCGAAAGGAGAGCCAAAAGTGAGAACTAATAGTTCTAAAGTAGACATTGGAAGAATTAACTCTGACAAAAAGCCTTGCTTTGAAATCCCTGTGGCAGTGACAAACAGGCTGTTTTGGAGCCTGTGAACTAAATGGAGATCAGAAGATCCAGGTGCTCTGTCTCCTTTCCCTGAAACCAGCTGGCTTGGCATGCAGGGCTTTTATATGTGCAAAAGTAAAGGAACTGGATCCTGTTATCCTCTTCATGAGGACAGAAAGGAGAGCCTTGCAAGGGAAAAGCAGGGTAAGTTGCCAGCCCTGAAAAGAATATTTATCAAGACAAAGGGTTAATGTCTCTTCTCTTTCAGGTGAACCCTTTACTGAGGAAGAAATAGAGGAGATGCTCTCCAGTGCTCTAGATCCAGAAACAAATACTGTTCACTACAGAGATTACATTTCAATGATGATAGTAGATGAACCTGAAGATCTTCCCCAGTAAAGTTTGAGATGCCGTTTGGTAACAGCAGTGTAGCTTGGCAGTTGGTTGAAATTTGAAGTATAGCAAATCTCAGCTTGTGACCTTGTGCTTGTAATTAAAATAAAATCTGTGGAGCTGTATTTCCTTGGTTCTGTATACGTACTGAAATATATTCACACCTCGAAAAAGAGCTCTTGACAGAAATATTGTGTAAGGTCTGGAAAAGAAATCATGGAATTTGGTTTGAAAAATAACAGGAAAAATAATGTTAATGGAGTCAAGAAATGTCCTTACAATTGCTTCTGAAAAAAATAATGGAAAAGTGAGACCTGGGAAAGTGAGTAACAAGTAGGTAAGTGAGTACTTTAGGATGACTGAAATTATGAAATCAAGATAAAACTTTTATATTTAAATGTAGGCCTTGTATGTGTTTAACTAATGAGGCACTGGGTAGATTACTGCTTTTGAAATAATACTACAGATCAAATAAACTTTCTATAGTTTCCAAATTTTGCCAAATATTTGTGTTTTGTTCACTATACGCAATTAAACCAGTTAGTTCCATTTTATGTCACTCATCCATTGGCACGTAGTGTTTTGCTTCCATTTTGAACATGCAGATAACACCCAGACCAATGTTGGAGTCAAATTTACAAACGAAAAAATCCTTAGAACATTTCTGTTCAATAAACAGTTCCCCTTTCATAACCAGTTTGAAAGTCGGGAGCTTAAATTGTTCAAAATTTAGGAACATAGGACTGGAATTTGATTTTCATGAATGTATGAAGCAGTGTCTTTTGAAAGATGTTAGTGTAGAATACTTGTCTCCAGTACCCTTGATAAAAGACTGCTGCAGACCTCAGTGCTCTTAATCATTTTCTCGACTGTTTGTGTACTTTAAGGGCACAGCAGTCCTCATGTGACGCCTTTTGCTCTACCCAGTTGTTTCACTTAAGCTGGAAACTCAGAGGAGCTGTTCTCAGACACAAGAGAGCTGCTGTGCTTCACAAAGAAGAGGTTAGTGCAATCTAAATGTTGTGATGGAAACAGTTTGAAGGAGACCTTTTTTAAAATTCTCTTTTTGTCTCTATCCCAAGTTGTCTTTCACTGACATTTTCTTAAGCAGTAGGGCAGCGAAGAGTTAATGCAGATAAACATTTACCTGCTTCTTAAATGGGTTTCCATGTGGGAACTACTGTGGCACTTGTCCTAAGACTCAGCAACGCACTGTTGTTAACACATTTACTGTGTATTTCATTTCTTTGTCAGTAAGAATGAAAACCAAAGGTAATCATTAGGGCTATAATGTGTGAAGATGCAGATTTTTGAAGATTAAAGCAAGAGCAACAAAGACCCATTAAGAAAATATATTTTTTATGAGTCTTCTTTAGTTTCTCTTTGGAAGCTGTAATTATTTTCCCTAGGTGAATCCTTCTGTTTGATATACAATGTGTTGTACTGGATCTCAAACGCAGCTGGTGTGCATACAAGTTTCATTCATATTCTGCAGTCTGGGAGCCCCTGTCAGCCTCATCTTTGTCAGCAGGAAGATGCTCATTGCAGGAAATCATTTCGTAGCTCACAGTGCTCCAGAGAGCACAATTTGTGTCTGGTGGTGCTACCCCAGGGGCCACCTCAGCTACTGCTGCATCAAATCAGGATGCCCATGTACAACACAGTTACATTTCATAGTACAGATAGGATCTTAACATACGTCCTCTGATGATACATGTAATTTTTATCCTGCAGTCCTCACATGAAAGGGAATTTGTGCAAGTGAAAAGTGGTATTGTGTCTGAATTTATCACACAGCAACTGCTCTAGCACCAGCTTTTTATACATCTCTCGGGGAAAGATAACGTGCAAATACAACAGATAAAGGCACGTTGCAGTCTCGACTTTGGGCACAAGCAACCACATTCAGCTGCCTAGAGGGTTTCCAAGCTGCAGGTGAAAGAAGGGGCAAAAAAACAATCTCAGAATCTGTAAGATCCTAAAATCAGAGTGCTCCCTGCTGGCTAGGATCACATGGAAGTGATCTGACCAGCCTGTGAAGGAGCTGCCCCGTGGGCTCCCCAGGAAGCAGCCAGGCAGTGCTGCACTTGACTCTTGCATTGCACTTGTCTCCCTTCCATGAGCTGCCAGCCCGTGTTGTGCCCAGGGTTGTTGAGGAGGCTTAGTGAACCATTTTGCTATCACCAAATAAACTTCTCGTCTTTAAATTTGAAGGAACAAAGGCATTACTTCGTTCTTGTCCTTGAGATGGACAAATTGAAGTTCAACTACGCTGCTGAGCGGTCTGGAGCTGTCTCTTGCTGCATGCCTCTCCCTGCTGGCTGTTTTGCCTCTTCCCTCAAGATCAGGAACCAAGATACAGGAGCGGATTGCACCGGGAAGCCTCTGGGGAGAAACCAGCCCAGCACCTGGACTGGATCCACACAAGGAGGCAGAGCCAAGGCTTTGAAGAAGCTGGAGAAGTCAGAGGCTTTTTGACCTAGTTGAAGGAGGGAGAGGGAAGGGAACTCATTATGCAGACATAAAAAAAAATATAAAAAAAGAAAAGAAATCAAAGAAGCAAACATTGGAAGCCATCTACAAATACAACTGAATCAGCAGGCTGTTTACATCATGGCATTGCAGGCTGGACAAGACTTTACTTGTTTAAAACATGAAGTAGGTTCAGCTGTGTCAGGCCACATCTGGTATATAGGGAGGCCTTCTCCTTGGTCTTGTTGATAATGTGGAGAAGCTCCTTCAGCTGCTGAACCTGCATGTGGGAGCCTAGCTGCTCATGTTGCAGGCAATGTATTGCTTCTTATGTTTCCCTCATCACATTTAGAGCTGCTTTTCCAAAACACTTTTCTGCCTGCTAGTGGCAGTCCCATATATATTCACGTTTCTTTATTGGCTTCAACATTTTCCATTGCAATGCATACCAGGATGGTATTTGCAGTTCCTGGAGACTCTCCCCTGACTGTGGTCAGAAACAGAAGGTGCAGGACTTCCTCCACCAAGATGCTGAAGGGCCAGCATCAGACCTGGGACTTGAGGAAAGGAGCTGGGCTGTTCCCCTGTGCTTCCTTCACACATCTTTTCACAGAGGTAAGAGCCAACAAAATGTTCCCCAGGTTACTGCTCTGTTAAGAAACTTCCTTGAACTTTACTAGTGCAGGTCTTCTTGTTGCCTTGCAGCTCCCTGCAAATTTTATCTCATGACAGGCATGCCTAAACTGTGCCAGGTGTGTCTGGCACTGCATAAGAAGGGCATGGACTGTCAGGGGCAGGCACCACATTCAAAGACGATTGAAGGTCTCTGAAAGGGGCCAGGCAGGACTGGTTAGGGGCTGGGAGGTGCAGCAACAGGTTTTCATGGAAGATGAGGCGTGTTTTCTAAGACTGGAGAAAGGACAAACAACAGGTTATTTTGGAGATATCTACTGATTCTTGAATTAAAAGATCTGCAAGCCTGCACAGCCAGATCGTGGAGCCAGTGGCTCTGCCTCCCATCCAGAGCTTTTCACAACTTTGTCACAAAATGTCTTTTGTCCCCACTGCCCAAGGGGCTGACATTATCCATCATCCCAGGGGGAAGCACTGCATTCCTGCTTTCTTCCTCAGCCTGATCATTGCAGCAGCCACCTCTGAAAGACAGAAAGTGTGGCAAAGACAGGCATTATTAATGTGGGTAACTTACGGAGAAGTCCTATCTCCCAGCAGTTTCACTGATTCACTTATGGGCAGGGCTGCCATACAGAGAGACCCAGACAGGCTGGAGGAATGGGCTGAGGGGGGCCTTACAGAAATCAGAAAGGGCAAATGCTGCTCTCAATAGCTGGAGAAGGAAAAGCTTTGCAGGTGTTAAACAGCATAAACAGCAGCCCCCAGTACCTACAGGGAGGGTATGAAGAGGGCAGAGCCAGGACCTTTAGTGATGTATGGTGAGAGGAGAGGGGACAAATTGGGATACAAGGAAAAGTTTCTTCACCCTGAGGACAGCCAGGCAGTGAAGCAGACTGCACAGGGAATTCATGGGGTGTTTGTCCATGGATAGTTTCAGGACCTAAATGAATAAAACCCAGAGCACCCTGATCTGATCGCAGTCACCCTGTTTTGAAAAGGGGTTGGACTAGAGACCTCCTGAGGTCCCTTCCAACCTGGGTCATAGAATGATCCTATAATCTGTGGAGCTGGTCAGATTCTTCAGACTAAATATGAGCATAAGGAGAAGGTGTGAGAACATGGTCTCTGCTGGCTGGAGACATGGGTTGATCTGGGGGATATTCAACTGGTGTTGCACAACCTTCCAACATTCTCTGGATTTAGCTGACACAGTATTTGCATCTTTTGCTGGGATGGTCTTCTAGCAATAACTGGTAAGTCTTCAAAACCATTGTTTCTCAAACGACACACAGCCTTGTGCTGACAGTCTTCCCAAAAAGATAAATCTTTCCTTCAGTGAAGGCTTCTCCTGTCACTTTATATTTATCCTGGGGAGATCCACTTCCAGGTAACACGCCCATTGGAAGTTCTTCTTTATAAGTTCATTGTCATTTACATCTTTTTAAACATCTGAAGATGAAGGAAAGAAGGGATCAATAGCTCAAGGACTACAAGATGTGATGACATCTAGTGAACGGAGTACACATCTTGGAGAACTCTATAATTTCTCTTTCCTAGCCTACCACTAAGGAAAACTTTATGGCTTGTCCCTCACAAGATAGACTACAGGAAGATCACTACAACTTCTCCCTCACAAAAAGGCCCAGCTAACGCCTCCTATAATTTCTGTTCCTACACAACAAAATGTTGATGCCACCACCAGGACAGTTTCCATTAATCACAGTGTTCTAAGACCAGGGAGCCTCCCCATCTGTTGCCTGCTCCTCCATCCTATGAAGCAGGAATTTATTTTGCCTACATCTTCAACTGAAATCCACTGCTGGCTCATTCAATCTACCTGTATCACAGCTCTGTGAAGAAAAGCAAAGGAGCCTGAAGACTGTTCAGGACCTTTCTCAGGACAGAAAAGAACTTGTGATGTTTTTCCTTCTTTCTCTTGTTTTGGTCTATCTTTTCTCTTGGCTCTCCTTTACCTTATTTCATTAATCCATTTGTGTGACAACCTGTGAGGGTTGAAAAAGCAAGACTTTAACTCTGACCCCACACTGTTGATGCCCTACTGCTTGTTCTGACAGCAATTACTTAAAACAGTATCAGCTGCCCACATCAGGTGTCATTTATCACTGGGTCTAGACTTGCTGCCACTGAAATCAGCACTGGCAAAACTTGTCACCAGTAAGGGGAAGGACCTGGGGCTTTGGTTTAAGGGGAAGGGTGGCTGGGGTCCTGCCAAGTCTGTAACTGGAATGGAAAGCTATGATTTTTTAAGTCCTGTAATATCCTGTTATCACTGTGCAAGAGGGGGAAGCATAGTCCTGACAGTAGGGCAGCAGGTTGGCAGACAGCTTTCATTCTAAGACTTTAGAGTGGCATCAGGTAAGTCATGTAACCTTTCTCCAGCTGAACTTTCCATCTGTGAAGTCAGAATAATTGCAAGGAGTAGGAGACGGGGAATCTATCTTATCTACCTGGACTGTCAACGTTTTGTATCACTAACTCTGATGGTTGCACAGTGTCTGGTACTGTGACGTTCTGATGAAAATCAGCATCTACAAACCTCCCTCTCATATCACAAAGTTCTCAGCCTTCAGGTCTTTTGTTTCAGACTGTGCACTCAGGTCACAACTTTGAAACAGGTCAATCTACAGCAAGTATGTTTGTTTTCATTGAACTCCACTGTTTCATAGTGCCTCACACCATGATAGGTTTGACTGTAAAAGAAACTATTGAAACATTTGGCCTTGCTGTTGGAGGGGTTTTTAGGGCACGTCAGTACATGGCACAGGGACTGGGCTGGTTTAAAAGCTGATATTGTAGGCTGAAACAAAGCAGATTCTCCTGCTTAACCCATTTTGAATCCCTGGGGCTACTATCTGGCTTAATATAGTTCTGAAAGCCAAGAAAATGTTATTCATTATGCTCAAAAGATTGATCACAGCATTTATATCCCGAGGCCCGAATCCTGAAGTCCTTATTCAGACAGAACTCCCATTGACTTCAAAGGGCGTTCTGTCTGCAGAAGGGCTTCAGAAATAGTGATGTACTGGCTCACAAGGCCCTGTAAAAACCTTTTAGTCTCTATAAAAGAAGCCTCATCTGTGGAAGATCTAACAGATGTACAACCAGCACGCAAGTTGTGTCGCTGAAATGACCAGAAACATAAAACCATGGGAGCGGGTAGTTAATTCTTCTCTATATTAATGCAAGCAAGATTCAACAAGAGTCAGCAGACAGAACTTTTCCGTATTGTTCAGACTACAAAAAGTCAAATCTAGGGATGATACTGCATGAAGGCTTAAAATTATGTCTTCCTGCCATTACCCTGGAAACACTGCAGCCATAAAAACACATACATGTTGCTTCTGTGATTTCACAGATTAAAAATTCCTTTTATCCTGGACTCTAATTAGTCCTTTCAGAAGTTCTTTTAGAACAGGCCTTCCTCTTCTAAATACCTGCCCAAATGAGAGCATAAAAGGAAACAGTGTGAAATGAGATGCTTTCTTCTACATGAAAACTTTTGAATATGTCCTGCCAATATGTCCAGCAGTCTCTTTCCTGACAAGGTAGCAGCATCCTTGGATGGAATGGGTCCTAGGCTTTACGTTAAGGTATGCAGCTATGGCCTCCTCTAGAGACCAACCTTGTGATTGAAATAACCTGAGTGGAGTTCTCAGGCTTTCAGAGGTGTGATTTTTGGAGCCAGTGTGCAGAATTTGAAGCTATCTGAGGTCTTCCACGTTGGCAAGTTGTCCAAATTTTATGCAATACAAAGTTTAAGTTCTACAGTGATGGAATACTAAGGATGTGGTAGAGTCCAGCTGGAAATTAGTAGCAAAGGCTGAAATTTAGCTTAATTTTTAGTAAGACCATGAAATCAAACTCAATAGTTCATCTTTAAGGGTATCTTTGCTGATGTTTCTGTTTGCATAGAGAAGCTGCACTCAGTATTGGAGAGGCAAAACTGAAAAAAAAATAACCAAAACCACCAGTAGCCAGTTTTCAAACGATGTCAAGGTGTTGCATTGAGAAACAATGCCATTCTTCAGAGCTCCCCCAAACACATCTGAATTCAGCTCAAATTTGGTGGAAAACTGAGAACCTGTCTCAGGGCTTCATCAAAGTTTCAGGGACCATTTGTTAAGCTAAATGCAATGTTTGGCTATCAACTGTTGAGATCATCCGGGCTGAACTACCTGACAAAGTTGTGTGACGAGGAGTGGGAGGCAGAGCACTGCAACTAGAGGGTCCTTGCTCCATTGCTCCACCGGAGGCAGTTTGTAGATTTTTCAGGACACGTGTTACATGACATGTCTAGCTGTTCAAGTTTCCATTCAGTTTACAGAGGTTGGTTTGAGTCAAACGTGTAGTTGTTTGAATGTAGTTTGCTCTCCTTGAGAGCTTCCTCTGGTGCTTCATTATCTGGCGGCACAGTGCAGTGCTGCTGGTCTTCATCTTTCCTAGTACAGGAGCCCTATGAAGTTCAAATTGGGAACAGTTTCATTGTGGTGTATGCTCTAACAACAAATGTTATCTAATCTAAGAACATATAAGATGCAAGGGAGGGTGGGGCGACAATAAAACCAGTTACATAGTCTTTTTGTAGTTATATCATTTCATGTAATTACAGTAATTTACAATTTCCATAAACAAGTTATGAGTTTCCTCTGTTGCTCCTTTGCCAAGACAGGTTTCTTTCTGATGTCACACCAAGTATGTACACTGAAAGCATCTGTAAATCTGCACTGGAAACAGAGGCACAGGGAACTGTTGAAAGCACTTTGGTTTTACACCAAGGTGAAGAAAGAGGTTCTTCCTTTCCTACTGGCAGCATGCTCTTGGGCTTCCATGAAGGTGTTCTCACTGAAATCTTGTGACCCAATGGGGTCAAACAGAGTGACCATGAAGAAAGGAGGCATGTGAAAATGTGTCCTTTGGATTTTCTCATATAAAGGGCTGAAACTTTTTTCTCCATCTTCCCAAACAAGAAGGGATACAATGCCTTCTGGCAAAGTAGTATAACATGAGTTGCATTTGCTGGTGATATCTCTGCTTTCCTCTTCAGAAATGTACCATCCCTCCTGCATAACACAGGGGATTAGTCGGAGTAGGGGATCTTTCCCAAGAACTTACTCTTTAAAACAGGTAAATGAATACTGGGGACAGTAGCAGACATCACAGAGGTATAAAAGACCAATAGGAATATTTATTTATATGGACTTTTCTAATTGCCAGAGGCACGTTCTGGCAGAGATGACTTAGCAATACACACTGAGGGGATGAGCTCTGGCATGTAGAGGAGAATAATGACAATGCTTCTTTTAGCGGAGATGGCAGAATTTTAACAAGGGATTCCCACAAACCCCATAAGGTCTCTCTGTAGCATCTGTGTTGTGGGATGTGCCTCTTAAATATTCTGAGAATGGCCTATACCCACAGACGTTAGTCCCTGTTTGTGGAAGAAGGTGGTCACTTTGTAAGCCATACTGCCAAGCCCTTGAGAGCCAGAAACCGTTGTTCCCATAGGAGGCAACACCAGCTGGGAGCATACACCTGTGAAATGAAGAGAAAGGACGTGCTTCCATTTCCACATGTTCACATTTTCAACGCAGAAGTTGAGCACCATTGCTCGCTCCCTACCTGTTCTCACTAAGGAAACAAAGGCTTTGCAGTGATCCAGTCACAACAGGGAAACAGTGAATGATAAACACGAGACATTTGGGACAGAGACAGAAGTTAGAAAAAAAAAAAAAGTCTGTAAGTAGAGGTGTTGAACCTGTATGCCTTTTACATGCAAAGATCACACCCAAAGCAGCTAATGTCTATCATACTCAGCTTACAAAAAGATGATTTCAGGAACATACATTTAAATTCGGAGAACAAATTCTTCAAACACAAATCAAGATGGGAAGTAAGGTCCAATTAAGTGGCAATGACTTGCTGAATAACGTCCCTACGAAATAGGCAGAACCGACACCTGCATTCACAGTCTGAGACACCCAGGCAAACAGCGTCTGCATGGGCAAAGGTGACAGCTTCAAGAGATCAGTAGCCATGGAAATGTCAGTAAACAGAATGAATTTTAAAGAAACTTTGTCAAGAGGGTAAGCAGTAACTGGAGAACCCTTCAGAGGCAAAAATACATGTACGGCCCTCTCCACGGACATTTATTGTACAAACAGTTCTTATTTTTTAGATACACAACATGTTCTCACTGACATCAATAAGAAACTATCTGGGGCAAAGACTTTGTAGTATCTCCTTTACGGAGTAGCCACAGTTGGTGAAGGCCCTGGTTTTAGAAACTTACAGTCAAACTCACTCTCAGTTCTCATTTAATTAAGAAATAATCTGCTTTCCTAACTTCTGGCAATAGCTTCAAAAATAATAAGAACAACCTGAAAGTAAGTAGCACTGGAAGACTACAGCATGCTTTTCTAACCACAGCTCGTGTGTGTTGCACTGTCCTTTGTTGGAAGCCAAATTCTGATTCCTGCTGTTCAAATATGATTCACGTTTCTGCAGTCAGTGAGGTCTGTGAGGTACACCATCAGAAACGGCAGGTAAACAGTGATGGGGAAAAAGGCAGGAGCGTTCTCAGACGCACACACAGAGCTTGCCTGGCCTTTCGTACAGCTGGCAGGGCACCAGATCTATGAATCAGCTAATGAATGTATCTCAAGAAGCAAGAGACGAAACAATGCATTCATCACTGCTAAAATTTAACTTTGTAACTTAGCTTTCGGCAACAAAAATTCATAACAAGGATAATAAAAAGGGCAACAGAGGAACATTCTTCTCCTTTCTTTATTGGAATAACTTGCTGTTTGTCCAGCACTCATGTGCACCGAGCTGAGACCAGCAAGTTCACTTTCCTTTTGTTATACTGCGAACTGAGTATAGACCATAAGGTAAAACCTTGTGCACTAAACGTCTGCTCTGCTGGTGAAATCTTTACGCCTTACAGCAGTTGTTTTAAAGCAATAGATCAGATTCTGTTTGCATGGCATTTTTTAGATAGCATGTGGATTAA